CACAACAACTATATTCTGAGCACGCGAGTGCGAGAGCGTGAGTGCGCGAGATTGCAAAAGTACATTGGTCTCAAGCTATTTATTGGAGGAACACTGTCTGGACTTGGTTTAATGCTGCTGCGCACGTCTGGCCTTTGTACGAGGCTGCGACGTTTTGCATATTGCGGGGGCGTTGTCTGACCATGATCAGCACAGACTCTCGCTGCCTGGGTTTGATACAGGGCTGTGAAGCGCCGCATATTGAAGGGCGTCGCCTGTCTGTTCAATATCTAGCTGAGCGAAGAGCCTCAGTAGATTTTGAGCAATCGATGGTTGCATTTATGAATCTGACCCTCCTTACAATTTTATATCACCCGATCTCCACTTCATCAACCGGATAAAACAAACCCATTCTGACCTGTTCTCTGAAGCAATCACACACAAAATGTAAAGTCCCTATTATTTGCTGAATATTAGCATTCACGGCTTTTGCCTTTTTGCTGTTTTCGTCATGGACTATTCGTTTCTTTGGGATGAGAGCAGTGACTCAGTGAATCGCGACCCATACCAGTACCCTTCTGTTAACTTCACGTAGAAGCTTACAGTTAAACTTCAGGGCTTAACCATTATCTCGGAAGCTGTTGCTCGAACTTTTGTTTGTTTGCTGCACTTGTTCACAATAACGCCGCTAGGTTTGAACTTCTGAGACCTCCTGCTGGGATTCTTCAACCAGGCTTAATACTACTGCCGCCACCTGTCTAGCTCACTGTAACTGCTCCTGCGGCCAGCCCACCTGCCGGCTACCCCGTCGGCTACGTCTTTACCTTCCCAAAATTATGCAATTGCTCCCGCCATAATCTTGTGCCCTTTGATCGACCGACGTCCAGTGTAAAGGAGAGATGCAACTGTTTCTATCAATTATAGTCTCATCACTATCCGGCGGTACTACGTACATACCGAGCAGGAGCCCGCTAATATTGGCTTAATGTGTCCTCCTAACACATCGTTCGCCTCAGCTAGTCCTTGACAGCTAGGTAAGCCAACAAAAACCCGCCCTTTCGTAGTTTCATTGGTTTGCCGTTATCTCCGTTTATATATTTCTTTATCGGACACAGTTTTATCTGATGCCTGTGGAAACTCAGAGTTTACTGCTCTTATCTTATTTTCTCCTCACTCCCCTTCCTCAAGCTCAAGAATTCGTTGTAGTATTTCCAGAAGCCCGTATATCCGGTCTTCATTCAATCTGGTTTTTCCTCGGTCAGCGCCCATATGGTCCTGAAAATGAATCAAAATCACCCGCGAGTTGTCATCGGCCTGTCTCTAACTGTGCTATTTTCCTCATCTTACCCAGATTCAGCTCAAAGCGCGTATCTCTGTCCAATTACGGCAATTCTGATGACCGCTGCAGTACTGTCTTTAAACGGAAATGTGTCAGTGCAATGATGGCACGACAGTGCCACGCCCAACGTGAAGGCATACTTGCAACCATTTTTCCTGCCCTCGACCGCCACCTGTCGCCCGCTCAAGCCTGTAATATCAACCATGAACAAGGCTTTCCGATGTAACTTGGGTTTGCCTCTTCTACAAGTTCAATTCAATTTACGGTCTTTGTTTCTGCCTGGGCACTGGCACCGTCGCTCCATTAAGATTATCCTGTACACCAGACTTCTCTACAACATTGGCGCCAATAAGTCTACTTTGCCTCAATGTAAACCATATTTTTGGGACTAAACTTGTCATTTGTGTCCACCTTGAATCCTCACACCTCCATTTCAAAATTTCGCTTTTCGCAACCCTGGCTATTTACTCATTCGCAGAAGTCCAGCAATGGTTTTCAGACTTGGTTCACTTCAACCGGGTTCCTCATTGGACCAGCAGTGCCCCACGACCGTTGTCCTTATTCTTTGTTTTCATTAATCGTGCCGACGTTATTCGTAATAAGCAGGCCTTTTTGGATGTATCTTTCTCCCCGTTGTGCAGTTGCCTGCTGCGTTAAGGTTGCACCTACCCAATGATGCCTCAGTTGGTATGTTCACTAAAAGTGGTGAAATAAAATTATCATTATCAGTTAGGAGCGAAAAACTGAAAGAAAGAATAATTTTAGCGGGACAAACTTCATATATCAGTAGTGCTGAATGAACCCTATGTCAATTTCGTTCGTCTCACCTCAATTCTACTTTAAAGGCTAAAGGTGAAATGTCAAAACCCAGTAACCTGCGGAATCACCTTTATACGAAAGCGTCTTAAACAAGCCTTATGTTCTGGAGGTATGAGTTAACCCGTTTAAAGGCTAAAGGTGAAATGTCAAAACCCGGTAACCTGCGGAATCACTTTTATACGAAAGCGTCTTAAACAATCCTTATGTTCTGGAGGTACGAGTTAACCCACAGACAGATTTCTGATTTAAAATAGAGTTATTACAAGAATGGATACGCCTTGCAGTGGTCTCGCAGCCACCAAAGCAATAACTTACAGTGCAAGAATTAGGTCAAAAGAAAACCTAGAGATATCAGCAAAGAATTCGTCCAACAACAGTAGCTACAACCCAGGCAACTCTGAGATGGAGGCGGTATATGTTAGAGCCCTTGGGATTAAGACAAATCAAATAACTGTTTCCGTTATTTTTATGGCATTGACATTCAGTTTATTCGGCACCTTGTTGGCACATTTTGTTTGGTGCAGCGCAAAATTAAAATCATTTCGGTGCACCCCGGCCTCGATTTTTCGCAGTTTCCCACAAGTTCTGTCTTCGAAAACACGTATATATAGGGTTACGTGACCGCCTGATATACCAATAACTACACGATAATTTCTACTACTTTAAAAAGCACAAGTCACTCAGGCATTATATATTTTGCGGGCCGACTGGTTTCCTGATTAGTGATTAGATTGGCCAGCGACAGAGATTACGATTAAAGCGTATCACGTCTGGTGACAAAGAAACATGCAACTTGTCGCTTAACTGTCCGTAAAAAGACAACTGCCGCTCGATCAAGGACTTGCAGGACTGCCACATGCCAGGCAAAAAGCAATCCGCATCATTATCGTCCGACTTGTGGGGCCGTTGTACCTTTGGAGCTATCCATGAGACTTAAGAACACAGTTTCTTGAGCCATCAAAACAGGCTAATTCATTCTTTAGTTCGATCAAGCAAGCAAGTGTGCCTCTAACAGGTCCTAGGCTCTAGAATATGTACCAGATGTGTCCAAGTGTGTTTGTAACGGGGACATGACAGACGAAATACAATCAGCTAGATTTGCAAGATGTGTTGGGTTTTCTCGAATAAACTTCACAGAGCTATCTGTTCATGTGTTATTAGCAGCGTGTCACTTGTTGTATAGGCGTTAAGTAAAAGCAGCACGAAGGTGGACGGCTGTTTAGCCACTAGTGTTGGCCCGCCCTCCTCTGGTGCCCTTCTGTTCTATAGACCGCACACATGGCAGTATAACTAAGGGGGAGTGCTCTCACAGGATAGTGGTTGTGAGACAATCGCACATTATTCTAGTGTCTGGTTGATTTCCTCAACGACCTTACGATAAAGGAATCCAGATGAATCTTAAGGAAATAAATAAAACATTGGATAGATCTGAGCAAAGAAAAATGCCACAAGTTAATCGCAGTCAACAAAAGCAACTGAGCTGTGCAGTGCTTGGCCTTAAAAGTTGATTACACGCCTATCCTGGCAAAACAGGTAAGAGTGCGGGAGCCTACTGCATCTAATGCAGGGCACCACGCATCTTACTGTCTCAATTTGGTTCAGTAAATGCAGAACAATGAGTTGTGCTAAGAGAGCCACAGAACAACTCGTGGTGTTCCCAGAGGATAATGCATTCGATCAAATTTACACAAAATACAGCACAGCCGAACAAAATATTGGGATTCTGCCGTGACCCCGGGATACCCGCAAATAAAACCTCAACAATTTTTTGGGTCGTATTAGCCACTTAGTTAGTTGTTTCGCTGATTTCACGCGTACGATTTACCTTTGGTTGTTGGTACGGCAATCAACGCCTTTGAAATAATTGCTCGAAATGGTGCTCTCCAATGTGTAAACACACTAACGCGTGTCACGTTTGCACTCGAAGTAAACTGCACCGGGTACAACAACTGACTACTTAAGCGTGGCTTCTGTGAACAAAACGGAAAAGTGTGACTGAAGCCCGAGGATCTTCTTTTACTGCATAAGGAGAACGCATCGAATCAGCGAGTCCGCAAGAGCCATTGGGCACTCACCTTTAGTTCGACTGGATTTTCATTCTCAGTATGCATATAGGTGTGACGGGCAACTGGCACAAGTGTTCGGCCATTAATTCATGAACAGAATAGATTAGGATGTGCACGGCCCCAGAAGAGCAAGCCGTGGGTCGTACTCAGTAGCAAAGGAGACGATACCACTCTCAGGTATACACGAAAGTGAAAAATGTACATCTTCAATTTTCTCGTCTTTCAAATGTACACAAAGCTTGACCCGAAATGTGAGGCGATTCCGGAGCGCCACCAGAATACTACACTTCTGATAAGGTTTTGAAATTTTTCATTGTGAAAAGTCGTCGACAAGCTTGACCCGAAATGTGAGGCGATTCCGGAGCGCCACCAGAATACTACACTTCTGATAAGGTTTTGAAATTTTTCATTGTGAAAAGTCGTCGACCAGAACGCTGATCAAAATTAATTTTAAAATCATGCGATTCCAGGTAGCATTTTTCACTACGTATAATGTGCCTTCGTGTTAAGCACAAGACAGGCTTTTAAAGTTTTAGACTGGTTCTGAGACCCACAGACCTTCAGAAGTACGACAAGTGTCTTAAGTGGTATCATGAAAAACCCACGGATCCTTCCATGGGGCTGTATGCTGCTACATCACATTCAGCCGTGACATTCAAGACACATTCCCAGTCACTTGTGCCTACACACAAGCACACTGTTCCTCCTCCCGTCCAACACCTACCTCCTCATTATTTTCTTAACTACTCTTTTCCATCTCATTCTGATACCAACTGGTATAGTCGCCTGTCCCTCCGTCAGCTTGCCCATGCTTTTCTCACATCACCGGAATGATCCAACGCACCTTCAGAGGTGTCTCAAGACGCCTCTATCCCACTGTTCTTGATCTTGAAATCTGCCCAGAAGAAAAGAGTTTCCCTTTTAAACAAGCCGCCATACCCGAGATGCATGTCTCATGTTCATTCGGCAGCTAGTGCGAAGGAGTTCAGCACACCACCAAAATGTTTGTCATGCTCAGAATGATGCCTCGGTTAGGGCCACGAGATCCAAACAGGGGTGTGTCATTTGCTCCGGCCCTTGAAAATTCAAACATAACTAAGGTTGGAAGGAGCGTTAGGCTTCTTTAGGAAGGGCTCGTTCTCCAAGCACATTTTGTTAATCACCTTTGCCACAGCCACCGGGCGTAACCCCACATTCAGCCCTGCCACTTGCTCTGAACGACGGAGTTTTTGTGTATTCTTGATCCCCGGTTTCCGGGAGAGCACTTTCTTCCGCACGGCTTTACAAAGCATTTGCCATCCAGGAGATCGCCTTGCCCACTTCCGCGAAACATCACTGAAGAAATCCACTTTATTCAGTTCCGCCGCCTTCCAGGAATCGACGATAGTTAACATGACAAATAATGCCGCTGCCACCTGCTGCACCATCCATGAGCATCAGGCTTCCGTGGTCCAAATCCAACCGATTGCTTTAGTTGCAAACCTAGTTGGAAAATACAGCCAGACTGCCCCAGCCCATCTTTACCGAGAGTGGCCCTGCACCGTTTCACCCAAAAATCAGAAGCTCTGCTCTGCCGGCTGATATACAACTCAAGGCAGTCGAAGCAGACAACCGTATCCAACAAAAACTCCGGACATTTGCTAAGAAAGAAGAGACCCTCACTGAGTCTGCAATAAATTATCCATTCACATATTCCCAACCCCCCTTCAGCATTCCACCCATTGCATCCCTTCTGCCGGTTGCCTGAACGCGAGTGAGAAGCCGGTAACTACTCTGGGTCTGCTATTTACCAACAAACCATCCACCAGGTCAGGCTTACATTTTTGACTCCTCCTGAAAGCATATCTCCCCATTCCACATTCAATTCCAGAAGTAACTTTTCATCGCACCATCTTCCATACATAATCCCCCACCTGTTGCACTTAAGGGGCCCTCCTCCGCTCTCTTGTGTCTGAGCTAAATTGCACCACCACATATACAAACAAAACTTTCATACCCGACATCTTTCGGTACTCTCATATTTCCCCCTTATCTCTCTCTCCACACTCTGAGTAAGGTCCCTAATCAGTCCCCACAGACGTGGTCTCACTCGCATGCGTCTTTAGTGATTTTGCTAGTGTAATGATCAAAATTGTCTCCCTAAAAATAGTTGTTCCATCAAACTTCCCTCACCTGACAATTTCCACTCATCCATGGCTGTTGTTGAGGCCGAAACTTATGAGATCGTGATCTCAGGAGACGAAATGGTCCGACTTGACTCCCCATGTTGACACACTGGTGATGTACAAGCCTTAACACACGGAAACATTTTTGCCCCATTGAAGCATCTATCGCTTTTCACCAATTTCACATGCCAGATCCATTGGCTCCTCCTGAAATCATGGAACAGTCACTGCTTGCTAGGCGACCTCATCAGTCATGCTTTTCCGTTCATCTCCGGAAATGACATCCAACTCCCTCCATATTCGCACGTTCAAATTCTACCACCTTATGACGGCTGGCGACCGATCGCAACAGTTGGCAACCGTAGACTTCTAAAAGCTCCTTTTCTCTCTTTCTATTTCATTAGCCTTAATGCCATTTAAACCGAACAACGACACCAAAAGTGCTACTGCCCGAGAAGGCCCCACTGCATTGAGGACACAATTTCCTAAACCGATTTCTGCCGACATATTTATCATGACCGTTGATGGCATAATCCACTACCCTCTGGTCCGACCGGGAGGTTCTGCGTTAAGTGAGGTTCACTGACGCCGGCCTTACCAGATTTGTCCACCGCTGGACCAGCTGCACTCCAATCGGTCTAGCCGCAGATCTCAGACACCAGCCCTGGGGGTCAAGTGCTCAAGATGACCACAGGAGAAAATAGGCGCCCAAATTTCAATTTTTGAACACATCTTCACGCAGTACTCAGGTCCACCCTGAAAGCCGTTTGATCAAAAACGTACGCCTCGAGACCATTACACTGGAACCTGGTGCTTCAGTGATTACTCAGCTTGCAAGGGACCTTGTCGCCAAAGCAGGTGGAAACTTCGGAGTAGACCAATAGCCCCAGCTGTTAACGAAAGCTTGTAGCTGCTCTCTGGGCAATAATAGTCACAACGGAAGGTGGAACTCAGACATCTCCTTAACACCCTCCAGTGTTACGAAACTAAACGCCTCTGAGGCGATCAATTTTTTTCCTTTGCATTTTCAAAGCCTTTTCCGACAACAACTCGGCCGTACTGAGAAAATCCCATAAATTTGGACCCCAACTCCCTCCAGTGAGTTACCCAGCTATATAGAGTTCGTTTGCATGTTTAGCGTTGTAGACTGTGCGATTCCTTTGAAGCAAATGGTGTCTGGCCTAAAGCCCCAAAGGAACACGTCAAATTCCCCTCGCCTTCGTTGATTTCGGTGATGCTTCTCAATTATTGCCTGTTATCCTTGGGCACCTTTACGCACGGGTTGGAAACCGGTACAGCTATACTGACAATAATCCAAATGGTTCCGCTTTCTACAGCGGTAGGCAATATAGAGAGTCGCCGGGTGATTCTTTCATCACAACTCGTCTGTTGCATTCTTCCAAACACGGCTTCCTTGTCCAACCAATTCCATGATTCACCGATATCTCGACCATCGTGGAAAACTGACAAAACAGGGATTGCACCCACTGTGATTTCTAGAAAACATTCTACGTAAATCAGAATGTAGGATTCACGAAAGTTTTAATGTTCCCGGGAGAATATCCCTCCAGTAAGGCTCATCCGTGAGGAGTTGGTACTCTGGGGTAGAAGTTTGAGGGACGGTCTCCCCTGGTGATGATGGAAACAGTAAGGCTCCCAAGGATCAGTTAGTGGACCATTATGGTTCATTCTCATTACAGTGTAACAAATGGGCCTGCTTAGAACAGCTATCGGCTCTCCGTGTTTTGTCGATTTAAGTTTGGTTTAGAGGTCTGTGGTCCCCGCGCTAATGGCTAGTGACCATTGCCAATAGTCCCAAACTAACCACCCTTTATTAAACGCTAGTGATATTGTATATGTGACCCCATAAAGAAAATGTTGCGTTTCTCCCCTGTTGCCACTGTCCTGACAATAAGGAATACACGAAATTACCCACTACAGAGACCTAGCAGACTATATTCCCTGTATCTCTATTCCTTAAAAATACTATTGGGCCGGTCATTCCACTGTTTCCTGTGTGCTTCTCCATAGATAAATGCAAATGATTCAGCCATTATTAGCTTTCAGCCCCCCAAAAGCAGTGTAGTGTTCCGGCCTCCTTTCTCAAGGCGTGATGAGAATGTGCTGGAGTGTGTTTGTTGATGGCTACAACATTATTGCTCTTCTCCAGAACACCCTTAATGAACCGCCGCACACTGAATGATTTGCGCTTGCACGCTCTTTGACACTCACACGCAAATGCGTATTGGTCCTATATATTGGACTACTATGAGTGGAAAATGCTCTCATCTTGCTGAGTAGCAAAAAGGGTAGCATGGCGGATCTATCTAACCATCAGCCCCCTAGTTGACTCAGTAGGTCTGTGTTTGAATAATCTGAGATATGGTTCACTGAGACACAGTTACGGACGGTTGCCCGGTGATAACCACCATGGACTTTCCAAAAATTCGGCCAACTACTCTGCGAAAACTTGTGAAACCCGTGGATCGCCATTTGGATGACGTCGCAAGGAGTCCAGTTGCTTTTGTAGCGCGACATAGTTTGTATGTCCCGCGTCCTTGAGTGGGGCCGAACAAAGCTGTATTAGGGGACTTTCTGCGCTTGTGTTCTGGTTAAAGTAAAAATTGTTCGTTTTATTATGCCTGTTTGTCCAGTCACGTGAATATCAGTGTATCGTTCATCTGCGCTACTTGGCCCCTTGGCCCCCCTTGTTTCGTTTGACAACAGCTGAGCCCGCCGGGCGAGGGATATTAATTTGATGGAGCAGTATGATGTGTATTCATCGCGAAATGGATTATCGGGTGCTACTGTGTCACTCCCCAGAAGGCAAGTTTCCCATTTTCACTTGTGCCTACGTTCCTGTGTGTAATATGAGCTGGTCCTTGAACGAGTTCTCGCATTTTTCTCGAAGTTACCAATCTGTCGTGGCCATACGCATTTATTATGGATGCGTCACAATATCCGGGAATGCTGTTCGGTCCGTAGTCAATAGTGACCTTCCCCTGAAACCATAAGAAAGACCGGATCTTCATGACTCAATCAGGTCTCTCTTGTATTATTCGTCCGTTTTCATCTATCCTAGGCGTCTTAACAAGGTGATTGATGCTGCACAGAAAGTTGCGACCGAAGGATTTAGCCTAAGTTATCTCACTTCTACATTACCTGACTCAGTTTGAGTGAATGTTTGGATTATTTTTGACCACTGCTAGTTTCTCCCCATGTAGTGTACAGTAACCAGTTGAAAAGCAACCAACAAGTTATGCTGCGGAGGATGTTCAGGATAGCCGTATGTGGGGGATGATGAGTAATTTTCGCTGAACATAAACAGGGCCGCAATGAGTTATCTTTGCCACAAAATATGATGTTAGTGTGCGTGTAACGGCTGCAACCTCGCGACCAGTGAGCTTTCTGACTACAAAACTCCGGAGACGAACCTTAACAGGAGCAGGAACTGCAGCATCAGCATGATTCCGAAGCCTCACCTCTATACAACTACAAAGTCTATTAAATTATATTCAGAGTTCTAAAGTGGAAAAATGATACCCTCAACACGGAACGTCCTTGGTTTTCGTCAAGTGCAGGCATTATGAGGTGCCTTCAAATCAAAACGCTCAGACAGACAGTCGAGTGTAACTGTCAGCTAGAATCTCATCTGTTAGTCGTCGTTTGCTGCAACGTGTTCAGCCGAATGCAGGGGTCACCGCTACCCTCTTCTGGAAGGCGGATCGACAATACTCGAACTTCGTTATCTCTTTTGCACTCTTCAACCATTCCGAAATTCGTGCTGCTCTGAATGAGGTACGGAGAACAATGTCCTTGCTCGGTAAACAATAGTTCAGCACGCTTAGCTCACTGCCGAGCCGCCACAGTCGATGAGGCTTGGATGTTATACGCTACTGTAGAAAATGCTGCGCAACCAAATACCCTTTTTCTAGTTCGTTACAGATTGATCGGCGCCATTATATGCCTGCAACGCTTCTGGGACATCGATGTCCGTCAATGTTCGCCTCTCATCTACCCAAAGGGAGCTTGTCTGGTTATCCTAAACACGACCCTGGTACACATATACCTCGTAATCCACTGATATAACCTGACTCCGCGAGTAAGGCAAACAGACAAACATGATTTAGGCTTTTGGAATTCGTGCAGTAATGACGTCAGACACCCTCAGACCCTCAGAGCTGTTACATCTACCGAGGTATGTAAAATTCTCCACAGCCTCCACTGCCTAGCAAAGAGCATGTTCAGAGACTGCATGTTCCAAAGCATGACTGCACTTTGTAGGAGCAAGTTTAGGTCAGGAGCACTTACTGGTGGGTGGGAACACATCCTTAAACTCAAGGTTGCGAGTCGTCTGTTCACATGGGGTTGTCCCAGTGCCTGATAGAGTGTGATGTGATTGACGTAATCTACCAGGTCGAAATCCTGCTTGATTTCCACGGATCAAGGTCCCGCTTTTCGCATTAAGAAGACGAGGAATCAGTGATGCCAGAAGCCGACGCCCCTATGGTTACAGTATTCATTGCGAGTTCCCCTCCTCGAAGGCGAGCATTATTCCCGACTCCTCCCAGTTGTCCCACATTCCAACTTTCTGCTAAAGAGCGACAGACTGGATGGAAGATAGATGGCCAGATGAATTGTTCGAAGTTTTCTCTCTGGATATCAGAGGACCATCTTTATCCTGTGTGGTTTCCCTAACAAGGGGCTTCCGTAAACCAGTCGAACGAATGAAGTGTAACCGCCTACGGACACTCTCTGCACTTTCTTCTTTTATTGCTTCGTACATTCGGACCTACGAAGCTTCAAGGTCTTCACAGGCACAGCCCTACCTTTCAACGGTTTGTGTCGAGTTGGATTGTGGTTGCGACCTTAGGGATTCCGTTACGAGGCTTCCACTGGAGCCACGATTCTCCTAGGTATCACATACTTGCAATATGTCCTTGGTCGGGCTGCAAGTAGAAACCCCGGCTTCGGATATCCCGCTCCACAGACGAGTAACAAAATACCAGTAAGTAAACCCTCCAGAATTCGGTTCTGATGAATTTTTCATCTCGAGGTCTATGGTTTTCTCAATATTTATGTGATTTGTGCATCTTTTGCGTAGACGTGAAAGACGCAATGGAAAGCAGCAGCAAAACTTCATGGTCTGAGCCTGCGCCGGTACCTCAAGCAGGCGCCGTTCGCCCCTCATCTCTGGTAAGTGGTAGCATTGTGGTCCATTTAGTTTCGGGACCGGCTCGTTGATGAGCACCACGTTGTCAGGCGATTTCCGCTGTTCCGGAAAGTGGTACTGCAGGGGGACAGTTTGGGACTAATATGGGTTCGAAGTGGAGCTTTCCTTTGTCCGTACACCTTGTGTTCAATCCAAGACAACCACACAATAGAACCCCAACGGCACTATGCTTATCTGTATGCAGTTTCATGTCGCTGGTGAATGCAACGAACTATAAGCTTTTAGGCTGTCGTAAAAGTGTACCTAGAGCGTTACAGAAACTGCTGCATCCTTCGGGGCACAAGCGGGTTCACTATGTGGAACGCAATGTACATCTCTTCCTTGGGATTCACTGACGACAAGAGGACCACGCGGGGACGACTGGCACAGGGTATCTAATTTAGTAGGACTGTCCGATTTTCAGACGCAATACCAACTTCGGTATATTCGGCTACAGCGGTCTTCGCCTTGACCTGCCTGACAGCGAATGCAACAAACACGGAGACCTGCTAATTGAGCAGATTCCCTGACGTCAACAGTGCATGTCTGTTTTATTTTTTATTTTTTGAGTTCAAAGAGAATCGTCGCTGAATCCATAGAGCTCCGGAGAAACGGGGTTGTATTAGCTTGGGTAGCAACCAGAGGAGACGCTGATAAATTAGGGTGACCAACGCTGATCCTAAGTTGTGTGGGCAATCCTTCCCGGTTACCCAGGCCGAAAAGGGGGTTTGTTTGAGATACCTAATTTCGGGCCTTGGACTCAAAAGTCTGACCTACAAGGCAGTTGGAAAGGGTAGGATTTTGTTCCGCGATCCTACTGGCAGCCTCTGACTAAGCGGTCTGGTCCGTTTGAGGAATGCTCTCCGAACAAATGACTCAATGGAGTGAGCCACTCGGCTGTGGAAAGCTTGTTCAGCCCGAGGGCAAAGAGAAGGTATAATTGTGCAACTGCACACGGCAAGTGCATTTTGAGTGGCATCAGACCCTTGAGTTTTACAAGTTTTTGGACCGTATTGAATAATCTGCCCGGTGGTCATGGGCAAGTGTTGAGCGCCCGGATCGTGCGGGTTTTCGAGCTTACCTCTTCTAATCCATCATTCGTCGGGGAAGCGCAGCGCCTCTGTTTTCATTAATATGGATATGCCCCTATGAATATAGTCACCTAGGAAAAGCACTTTACTGCGTACACATTCCTATCGCGGAGTACGAGCTCCACTGTAGCTCCAGATCGCATCGTAATATGATTACCGGGAGTATGGGGCTTACCGTCCCTCGTTTAGTTCCCCATTTTTACCTTTTTGGCATGGTGGAATATTGAAGAATGAAGTTCCAACCAATTCGTCCCATGACCTTATTACGTTACTCGAACCCGATCACCTTATGAAAGTGGCAGCCATTTGTCGGGAGAGCTGTTTTCACCTCATCATGTATCGGGCTCAGACAATCTAGGTGCCAGCAGCAAAACCTGTAAGTCGTTGCCAGTTAGTTCAGTTGCCTCGATAACTGCCGTCTCCTCGAATAGGGAGCTCGGAATGATACGAATCAAAGCGAGTGACTCTGGTAGATATGGTCACGTCACGCAACTAACGGCGACCCTACATCAAAGCTCTAGACTTCACTGCGTAGTCCTCCCATTCTCTTCCATATTGAGCAAATAATTTAACGTTAATGAACTGGTTGAACAATCGCTCCCAACGTTATCCCCGATGAACGAAACAGCAGCACCTGGAGTCACCACGGTTTTTAGCCGAAAAACTAGACCAAACTCTCACTTGAAATGTCCTTGGTTGATTCAGAAACATTCGAGATGAGACAACAGTGGTTTGGCTGTGGTGTCTTCACGATACTCGACTGCCGTGCAACTCGAAAGGGTTGAACTAGCTGAGGTACTGCCAGTTTGCTCGAGGCCAGACAGGGGAAGAAGGTGTCTAGTTTGTTATGCTTCGATCACGCAGCGTGCAAACGGTAATATGCGCAGACTGACGATATTCTATCCCCAACTATGTTACCTGATCCCGACTCCTAGTACAGACGAAATCTTGGGCACGGCTGTAATTATATATATATCCATAGTTTGACTTTGAAACAATGTCGGAAGTTCGTTAGCACACAAGGATAGTTTTTTGGGCATATCAATATCCTCAACACCTCCCCTTGTTAAAAGTCAGTAACGAGCTCGATGTGGGTCGACCTGACGGTGGCATCGGTTTGTCCACCACCTGGAAAGAAGTGCTGGATCAAGTCTTGAGTTGCCGGTCACACTCTCTTCTTTCGAAACTGCGTCAACTTTCAGCTCAATAGTATCGAGTAATATGTCCAACGGTACACACTGGAGTTTCCGGCGTGCTGTTGAGGCGGACTTGGTCTTAATGTATGGTCCAGGTGTCTTGGACCGGTGTCTTGACCAACTAACACATCGTACATCACACTGTCGCGTTTGCGCAGGATATGACCTGTAATGCATGCATCGTGTCCCGGGCGATAATCACGGACAAGTACGGACTTTCTCACCTTGAATGGAGCTCCAGCTTCCACCGGTATTGAATTTGACTCACTAGATTGTTGGCAACACGGAAGAATTCGCAGTTCTAAGCTTACGGCCCATGAGTGCCAC